GGAAAATTGATGCCACACCCCAATCAAGACCGGCCAGGCATATATAACCAGCAAACTTTAATCTCTGCTGCGCTGGTGATGTTCCCTAGCCTGAAACATTTCCAGGAAAACTGCCGGGTTCAGAGAACATGACGATTATCAGCTGTATTTTGTGAGCATAGCTCATTTGTGGATAAAGTTGCTCAAAGTGATATACAAGGTATTTCTTTGCCCATAGTTCTCCAACGAGCAACTCACTAGCCTTCTCATTAGCTTATTCATCCCAAAGCTTCCCCTTCTTCTAAGTTAAATATAGGATAGACATTACCCTTTGAAAGCAAAAGTGCCTCGTGGTCACTCTTTTGTTCCTGTACAAGGGGCAAAAGAAACTACCAGCTAGGAACAGGATTATTAACAACCTGGAAACACATAAAAAGTAAAGTGGCACAGATGGAAGACGGAATAACAGAACTGGAAGGGATCCTGGAGGTCATCTAGTCCAACCTTCTGCTCAAGCAGGAAAGGACAATCATCCTGTAATTGGGATATACAGATAGTCTTCAACTTATGAGCCGTGAATTTCCATTGTTAAACAAGGGAGTTGCTAAGTGAGTAACAGCCAAATTTATGACCTTTTTACCATGATTGTTAAATGAGTCGCTTAGTTAGTAACACAATTATTAAGTGAATCTGGCTTCCCCTTTGACTCTGCTTGTCAGAAGGCCGCAAAAGGGGATTACATGACCCTGGGACACTGCAACTATCATAAATACATACACAGCAGTAGCCAATATATCTCGAATTTTGATCACAGGATGATGGGGATGCCACAAGGATAATAAGTGTGAAAAAATGGTCGTAAGTCACTTATTCCAATGCTGTTCTAACTTTGAATGGTCACTAAATGAATCGAGGGCTAAGGACTAAGTCAAGCACTGCCTGTATTTGGTTAAATGCAGTATGTTCGATCTTGCTTTTTTCCTCTCCACCATCATCTCTTATTGCTGTTTTCAGTTAAAAGATTAATGGGCAGCCTAAGAAATTGATTAAATAAAAAGCAATTGGCTAGAATGCCAATAGTAACACTACGGTGTGCCTTGTTTGATTTCCAAGGATCACATACAAAGAGGTAATCATACACCGCTTTCTCAACCTCATCTACTGTAATTCAGTAAAGGGATTCAAACATTACACTGAGACACAATTTAATCTGGTGCCATGAAATTGATGAATGGTGGCTAAAACTGGCTATGATTTAGTACAGGTAGTTCGCAAATTGTGACCGCAATTGACTCCAAAATTTATGCTGCTAAGCAAAACATTTGCTAAGTGAGCTTGCCCCCATTCTATGACTTTTCTTGCCACAGTTGTTAACTGAATCATTGCATTTATTAAGTTAGTAATATGGTTATTAAAGGAATCTGGCTTCCCCACTGACTTTGCTTGTCAGAAGGTCACAAAAGTGGATCATGTGACCCCGGGACACTGCAACCGTCGTAAATATGAACCACTAGCCAAGCATCTGAATTTTGATCATATGTCCATGGGGATGCTATAATGGTTGTAAGTATGAAAAACAGGTGTAAGTCACTTTTTTCTGTGCCATTGTAACTTTGAACAGTCACTAAACAAACTGTTGTAAGTCAAGGACTACCTGTATAATGTATAGGCCAGGTCATATAAGGCTTAACTAGCTACAAAGACATCCAGATCTGTTCAATCAAAGCTTCATAAACCACTTTTGAAAAGCAGAATGGCAATATTCAAAATTTTCAAGGATGTCATTTTTTGTGCCAAGAGTTCATAGTGGTATGTTGGCCAAAACTACCTATTGGAGAGCAGATTATGGTTTGGGGTCCTGGGTCTTGGACAAACACCTGCAAAGTAATTTCTAGTCATCAAGTTGTGAATAGGATGCAGAGAAAAATCTGAAGCTAATCTTCCTTTACTGTCTTCTTCTTCTTCTCTTTTCTCTAAACACTCCATTTTATTTTCATCCCGGTTTTGGATTTCCAGCATTACAGTCTCAAAAAAGTTAAAAGCAGGGTTTTCTGAAGGAAAAAGTGCTCAGCCAAATTAAATTAAATGCCAAGAAGTTTACTTCTGGAGCCTCGTAACTATATAGGCATTGTAGAGAGTGAGTTGTGAGAGGATGGCTGAGGAACTCTGGGAGTTGAAGCCCACAAGTCTTAAAGATGCCAAGGTTGGAGGCCCCTGGTCTAGAATAATGGTCCCAAAGGTGCTTTTTCCAAGAATCAACTGGACTTTCATGTTTTTTCTTTGAAGACATTTTGCTTCTCATTCAAGAAGCTTCTTCAGCTATGACTGGATAATCTAGAACAGGCCTGTCAAACTGGCCTGTCATGCACAGGCCACGCCCACTCCAGCTCTGCAAAGGCAAAAAAACATCACGATCCAGCCCGTGACATGATTGACACCCATTGGTCTAGAACAGTCAAAATTCAGGAGACTGGTACACTTTTCCTGACTACTTGAGTCACAAACACAACTGAGTCCAAATGAACTAAAATAGCTTCTTGGATGAGAAGCCAGTTAGGTGACCTTGGGCCAGTCACTCACTCTCAGACCAACCCACTCCCAAGGAGGATATTTTGGATATATTTACTGCCTTACTTGTAAAAATAATAAAGGTGGGGCATAAACAATCAATCAATCAACCCACATAGATTGAAAGATTTTCTGCTAAGGTCTCAACAAATACAATGGGTTTTTAAACACACTAGTTGTTAATGGATAATGGACTTTGTCTCACATGTAATCTGTATTTGCATAATCAACCTGTCTGTCTCTCTCCCCCTTCTCAGTTTAAATCCGCTAACCAGCTAGCCTTTCTAGGCATCTGAGCTGAAGCTCACAAAAGCTTTTGCCTTAATAGTACTTTTCAGCCAGGGATGACTCCATCCAATTCCTGATTTTGAGGGGAGGGGGCTAATTTATGTGCACTGATTTTATATGTGAGGTCACAAATAAGACTGGAATTTTTAAGTCGGTAGCATTCTGTACCTTTAATGCAGGTGGCATGCTAAGTGCTTGCCCTCCATCTGTTATGGTTTCTAGCCTGGGAGAATTCTCTCTCAATGCACAAAGAAATATAATCTCTGGGATTAAACAGCCCACTTTTAACTGTCTACCAATCAGTATGATTGAATTAAAACCCCGACCTTCCTCTATTTTATCCATGCTTTTCAGAGCATTTATTCCAATGTTTAAATGACAGATTAACAGGATGCTTCTCAACTACGGCAAATTGCAGATGTGGGGCTCCAGCTCCCAGAATTTTAGGGAAGACTAACATTGTGTACCTGTAATACAGGTGGCATGCTATACCATCACCTAGGATTGGATATCCCTGGTGGAGTTTTTGTCACCTGCAATCAGTTCAATAGCTAGACCAGGGATTCTCAAGCATGACAACTTTCAGATGTGTGTGGACTTCAACTCCCAGAATTCCCCAGCAAGCTTTGCTTGAAGTCCACACACCTCAAAGTTGCCAAGCTTGAGAAATACTGGAATAATGTGTAATTCAGGCCTATAATTCCTGATGTGTTCCCCAATGATCATCATTGTCCCCTTCCCCCCCCCCCCCCAGCACTGATGATGTTACCTAGTTGGGTAATAAAACATCTGCAAGAAAAAAAACCAAGCTCAGAGAGCACCAAGGACCCCACAATCCTCCTTCTCTTCTCCACACACCACTTCCTTCTAGAACTGATGATGTTACCTAATTGGGTAATGAAATGTCTGCAACTAAATAACCAAGCTCAGAGAGCAGCAAGGATCTCTCAAGACTGAATCTATTTAACTTCTGGCTGTAACCAGCTACCCTCACTACAATAGTTCTGTAAGTAACATGTCCAAAATGTAGGCAAAACCATGTCTAGAAGAACACACTGTAAATATTTTCACATTATCAGAGATGCATAATTGGGCATATCTGAGAGATACAATGGCAAAAGATCAAATTATACTTCAGTATTCATTTTTAAAGTTAATAATGTATTTAGGTTTCCTCACCCGACAAATCTAACCATTTTGTTTTATGGGATGGTTGAAACCATTGATGTTTCAAATAATAGGAAAAACAGGAGTTTTCTTCTAGATTCTGTAAACAAGCCCCATCCATAATTTATGCATTCTATGGTGATTGCATCAGCAATGACTGTCTTTTACACACTTTGTTGATGTTTTTAATTTTTAAGTTATTTTTAATCTTTAAAATCTAAGAATCAATTAAACATGTTTAACTGATTTTCTTCAGCCACTGCTCCTGCTCAGTTATAAATGATACCTTTGGAGCAGTCAAAATACATTTCCTTCCAGGGAATTTTGAATTGGGGGAACCTATGTATGTATGTATTTATTTATTAATTAAATTTATATAGTGCTCATTTTGCAGTTTGTGTCAATCCTAGGTGGCTTACAATGTAGTAAATACATATAAAAACTATTATGAATATAAGAACAGATGACAATTACAGAGGATAAAGAGCAGTCTAAAGAAATCCCAGGTTTGGCGCAGAGCAGTGATGGTGAACCCATTTAACTATTATGCAGTCTTTTTGGCTACAAACTCTTTTTCAGCATAATATACTAACTCCTACATGGAGATGTTAACTTTGCCACACTAGACCATTGATTGCAGCATCAGACCACTGCAATGCAAACAGTCAGGAATAATTGTGTCAATACTTGCTAAATGAATAACGCTGTAAGTTATTTGACTTTGCAATCTGGTGTGTGTGTGTGTGTGTGTGTGTGTGTGTGTGTGTGTGTGTATAAAAACTCAAGGCAGGGAATATACCTAATACTCCTCTCTTTGATTAAAGTGCCAGTTTTGGCAACAGATGATACTTAGAAAATATTGTTTCTATCATCAGTTACGCTGAGGATTCTCAGCCAGGTGCATTGAAAGAATCAAAGTCATGCATTTGATTTCTTCTGTATCATCTGCCTGTGTGTTATTTGCAAGCCCTGAAAAATATAAAAGAACTTTCACTTACTGAAACAATGCCGTCCTTGTGAAACGAAGCAAAACAGATCCCGGGTGTGGATCCTGGAGTTAAATCTTCGTAGATATGTGAGCAAGATTCTCCTAAAGACAGAACAAGAGGGAATGGTGATCTATCAGATTTCTGACCATTCCAAATGTTTGTCACAGTGCTAAACCATTTTGTGCCATAATAATAATAATAATAATAATAATAATAATAATAATAATAATAAT